GCAGCGCAATACCCAGAGTCGACTCCATTCGGGTCCTCGGCATGACCATCCAGTCCAATGGTTCTAACAGCAAGACTATAACTCAAGCTCGCCACCAAGACGGATAACCCGGTTCGGCTGGTTCGGCGGGTGGCCAACCACTACCAAGGCCTCAAGGAAGACACCACTTTTCATATGTCGCAGCTATGCACAATTGGCAGCATGCCAAGCGTGACAAGATCAATGTCTTGCTGAGAAAAATTACCAAGCGGGCCCTCGGTATCCCGATCAGGACGCGCACCGAGCGCCTCCTTCAGCTCGGAGTACAAAATACGTTGGAGGAGATTGCCGAAGCGCAGGAGCGGGCCCAGCTTGCGCGCCTTTCGAGCTCCCAGACCGGCAGACATATACTCTGAGAGCTTGGTCACTCTCCGGCTGGAGTGGAGGAGAAGATGAGACAGGTGCCCCGTGAGATTCGCGACCTCATCATTGTGGCACCAATACCGAGGAATGTCCATGCCGAGCCCAATCGTGGTAGGCGACGGGCTAGGGCTGCCACTCTTCTCAAGCAGATTCACAGCGAGGAGCGCGGCGTCATCTGTGTCGACGTGGCAGCGTACCGTGGGAGCTGTGCCTTCTCCGCAGTCGTCGTCGACTCCAAACAGCAAATCACCAACTGCGCATCGGTTCACTTTGACAATTCGACGATTGCCGAGTAAGTTGCCATCACCCTGGCCATCCTGGAAGGTGAAAGGGAGGTCATCTATAGTGACTCTAGGTGAGCTATTCGCGCTTTCGAGCGCAGTGTAATCTCCAAGAAAGCCCTGCGCGTGCTCCAGTGTGGTGGCCACGACGGTATCAAGCACCACGTACTGATCTGGTTTCCTGCACATGTTGGACAGGTTCAAGGCGCTCCCCCCAACCTCAACAAGTCTGCCCACGAGGCCGCACGCGCGCTAACCGACCGCGCCGGTTCCAAGCAACGATTCGGGGCCAACGGTGTTGCGGAAAACAGGGACGCATCTGCCACGTACAACGAAATAAAACATTTTTACCTCACGCGAAGACAATATTCACTTCCTCATCCAAATCTTAACAGGCCACAGGCCCTTACGCTCAGACTACTGCAGACCGACACGTACCCTAACTTGAGATCCCTTCACGCTATTTATCCTGACGTGTTCCCCAATGACGCTTGCCCCGCATGTGGGGATGTATCCACGCTGGCGCACATGCTCTGGGGGTGCAAGGTAATGTACACTAACCCCAACACTACATCGGTCAGGTGGGAGGCGGCCCTACGCAGCTCCCTCCTGGCCAACCAACTTTGGGCCGTCCAGCAGGCCTGCGGAGCGGCCGATGGGCTTGCCTAACGGTCCCGACGTGAGAGTCGCCCGCTGCGCGCTAACGCGCGCCTTGCAGGACCACAATAAAGTTTCGCAACCAACCAACCAACCAATCACTTTCAACTTGAAAGCAGCTTTGTAGCTTCAGTATCGCTTCATAACATGACAAGATTATCGATAGAACAATCAGAACAAGCCACAAAGTGCACTTGCCGCTTTGGCTCTACTTGGATTGGATTGAATTTTTGTGCAATAATAGTACGCTTGATGCTTAAGAGATGGCGCCAGATGATGCACTCTATCATCATCAGTGGCTGTAACGAGCAGACGACATTATTGCAGCAATTTTTCGGGGGTGCGATAATTACTCGAGGAAAACAAGAAATCGTATTTTGTTAGGCAATGTGGGGGTGCGAGAATTATGTATGAGAATTACGCGAGTAAATACGGTACATAGCCTACATTTCTAACCATAAATAGAATGAATGAAGCGGTATCTACACTGGGTTCAGAAGCGCCAATTGAAGTTGAAGGTATAATGTATCGTGGCATGAAATAAGCAAGCACAACATCTAATCACAATATACCTGATAAAGAGTACAAGACAAACCATGAATTGCCTAACTAAATAGAATGAATATAATATGCCTAACTCTCAAAGGCGAAAGTAAGTAGTGTACTGAATTATAATGGCAATGAAATATGAAAAAATAAGAAACAAAATGGGGAGGGGGCATGATGAACTCAGTTAAAAGCAAGTTCGGCAAAGAAAAAACCAAAGGCATGCAGTGAACGCTAATCGAGATAATGTTATCAACAGTTTCGACGACATAGTAAAGGTGGAAGATGAATTCAATTGTGTTTAGTACAATTCGTAGTACACTAACGATCAAATCATAAGTAAAATCAACGTCGAACTGGATAAATGCTGAAGTCCCATGTGCAACTGTCTAAAAAATTAACAGGTCTTGTAAGAAGCGCACATTCCACTATAATATAGCTGGAGAAGATGGTGTAATAGAAGGCTTACATTTAGAAAAAGATATGTACAAACCATTTAATGTCCCCTAAATCGTGCAGAGTGAATATGAGCACTGCTACATCAATAAAAAGTGGTATTTGGACCCCCCCTCCCTCTTAGCAAATAATGTTAAAGTCCACATTAGCATTTGCCACGCTGGTCACCTTATAGGGTGGCAAAAAAAAAAAACCGCAATAAAGTATTATTTCATTTTTTAAGGCTGCATAAATGTTATACAATGCTCCGAATGACTGCCAGCAACTTTTTTAGACTTCAGTGATCATACAAGTACGCACAATTATGCAGTGTATACACGCGCGAGTAATTGAAGAAACTGTGCTGTGTCCCGTGACTAACGTTAACAGCCCCTTCCATATTTTACAACACTTTTTCGCAAGTCACCGGTGTATGTCGTGAAAGTGGCCTAAGCAACATTCTGCACGGAACTAGGCCAACAAATTTTCAAACGGCTACATTACACCCCTTCTCTTTTTTTTTTTTTCACAATGGAGTTAGGTTTAAGGCACAACTTCTAGGCTTGCTTGTAAGGCGCATTTGCTAGATAAGGTAACACCGGCACACGGACGTTGGCCCGGTGATGGCACCCGCACATCTATCTTATGTGCCGTTGCTAGGGCAACCAACATTGTCTTCAGCAACGTGGGTGTTCGCAACACGTCGAGTTTGCTCGCGTGCAGTAACAGTGGCATATGCTTCCAGCTTTAGTTCCTAACATGCCATAACCGCGTTTGCTGACTAAGATATTCATATTTTCCGCAAAATGTTGCAGGCTACGGCAATGCATTTTTGTCTTGAAGGTGCGACGTTTCCGCTGCGATCAGCAGACCAATGGACGCGCACCGGTTTTACATTATCCGGGTGATCACATTTCGCAAATGTCCCGCCGTGGTTTAGGGTAAGGGTCGGCGCGCATAGATCTCCAGATTGATTGAGGACGCAAATTAGAGGTGGTCAACGTAGCCTTCATTCCTCCTGAAATTAGCGCAACTGAGAAAACTTTGATGCTGATCGGGCATTTTAACGCAGCATGGCACAATTTCGGCCAGTTTGATGGTTTCGGTGCAGCTCGGAGTAAAAATGGGGAAGTGCCCAGCAGAGACAATGGGCACGTTGGCGCAGGAGCGCTGTAAGGAGCGTTACGCTAAGCCGAGAATGAGGAGGGGACTGTTTATTCAACAAGTGAGCATCAACACGTAACAATGATTACACAATATAGCCATTGCGTGGCTCTATGCGACACATCACGCGAAACTAAAACTGATGGGAAGTCCATGATTCCGAAATTAGCAATTTGAATAGAGGACATGAAATGCCTGACACCACAATACACTACAGCGATGGGTTTTCTATCATTGCTCTCAGGTGGTACGGTGCTTTGCTGTCTGCAAATGCATCCACAGGCTTGTCCAGGTTTTCGAACGTGGTTTTGCAACTAGTGGACAGGACTTTGGCACCACCACTAACAGAGAGTAACATATTCCCCCTTCCCTTTTCGAGCCAGCAAAAGTGGGAGCTGCACCCACTTTGCATTTGGAGAGTAGTGTGTGGTGCAGAGAAGCCCATTCAAGGTTAGAGCAGAGCAAGGGTGGAGAGAGAGTGGCTACAAAACAAAGCCTGTTGTGCGAGCGTGCCACGACCGTTTGGGTGGCAAGTGGTCATGCTTTAAATGTCTCATCTTCTTCTTTCTTTTCAAAGATGTCACGTTCCTTTAACTTTCAGCCCAGAACGACCAGCCGCAAAACTTTAGTTTTGTAAACAATAATGCTTCATTGGCATTGTAGGAAGTTGATTATTTAAGCAACGAAAATATTGCTCATCATGGGTTGAAGAAAGGGGTGCCCAAGACAGCCACTATTGCCGCAATCATTTTACTGCTTGTTTTGTGCATACCGATAACCCCTGCCCACAAGCTTTATCATCATGATATGACATGTCCAACAACTTATCTGGAATGATCACGGCCCCGCACATTGTCTTCAAGATAGTTCCAGATCATTGCAGAGTCCAATACAAGCTGTTATGGAGGCATATATAGAATGTCCCATGACCCCTTTAAATTGAGCGCGCCTAAAGCAAACATTCCTGTTTCTTGACAACATTCGTGCATGTTGTTTGCTGACGCCACAGCAGAGTTGTACAGTTTCTTTTAGAGGACGCAAGCCAGCCTGACAAACAGATGCTCTTCTTTTCTTGTCTTACGAACTTTCCATAACTGTTGGATGAAAATATACAAAAGTTAAAGGTGCAGTAGCTTGTCATTATTATAGGTGGCAAGTTGCAAAAGCCAACATCATTATAAGTGGTTCCGACTGTACTTAGTCGGTGAACTTTTTCCTGTCTTCTTCTTTAATGCCCCCCCCCCCCAAGCTATTAATAGATACGTACACCTCATGGTGATACTATTAATACTATTACTAATAATAGTTACGTACGCCTCATGGATGCCCAGCGCTTGCTAAAGCAGAGCTAGGCACGTACAATGCCACAGGAGAGGAACCAAGCCACAGTACTACTTGGCTAAATTAAAAACTACCAGCGACCTTACCTTCTCAATACATGGCCAGTTGTAAAGAAGGCCTATACAAATAGATAGTAAACGACAAAACCACAGCTATCACCAGCCACTAACTCACCATCTTCGTCCATGTCCTTGGGATCCGGACGGGCTGGCTTAGTCTCTGGATTGGGATCAATCTCACCGGGCTTTAGCTTGCGTGGGTCCTCCAGAATGTCCCCTTCTTCTTCTTTCTTCTGAGCTTGATCTCTGCAGAGGAACACTGTGTGAGTGGCGACAAAACCACCACAGGGTGTCCAGTGCACACTCACAGCAAATATTCATAGTGCTCCAAGCACTGGGCGGCCGTTCGACCGATGATTGGTGCAATGGTCCGCCACTGGGTGGGCATCAGCTTTGCAAGGTGGAGCAGCTTCTCCTCCTCTTCCCGTGTCCACTCGGTTTTCTTGATGCTCGGGTCCAGCCACTCGTACCTGCAGCAACGTACGCCTTACGAGACTGCAACACACTCATTCAGAGCTTAGATAGTAAAGTAATTTCAATATCCACGAATACTTTTGTAAACAACACCCGTCCTCCTAATAAACTAAGTTAGCAGCTTGCATAAAGTTATGTTGCATTCAGAAACTACACGTCCATTTGACAATGGTGCACAACACATCAATTACAATATTACGATATTTTGATTTCTTACCAGGTTACAAAGCACAAAACTGCCCTCATTTTTATTACCGGTTTCTCCTTTTAGTTAAGCCTAGGTTCTGCCAGTCTGCACTTGCAAAAGAGAAGTGCAAACAAGTGGAGCCTGGGTTGCAACCCGTGGCAGGCCCAAGGACTCATTAAATAAGCCCTAATATGGTTCTGACGATTTTGTCATCGACCAAATCAGCTTTCTGCGTAGACTGGGCAATCACTGCAGATAGCTGTGACTCAGGCAAATGCATTTTCAACAGCCCATTCACGGAACGACATGCTCTGGTAAAGCAACGTCACCCTGGCTGCTGATCCGATTGGCTGTGGAATGTGCGGAAGACGGCACCTACCGGAGCAGGTATCAACCATTGCACAATCTTCGTCTCTGTTGCCAGATGGTTTGCCTACTGCCGGGCGCACTGGGTGGTGGCCTCCGGAATTGTGTGCACCCTGTCGGTGTGGCATCTCAAAGTTCTAGACTGGGTAAAGCTCAAATAATCGAGTGCGCTCATGAGAGCTCTGCAATCACGAGCTATGCTGGGGAGTCTCATGAGTTGAGGAGGCAAGATAAGAAGGAGGGTATGATATAGTTGCCCGTACCGGCCTTGGTACACTGAATCTGTGGCATGAAAGGTTTGATGATGCACTAGCCTTACCGCTAGCAAAACTTCAGAAAAAACAATTCAGGTTTCCTTTAAAGGCAATCATCAAGGCCTCGTAAGTTTCATGAGTAGGAAAATTCGTTTAGCAAAACCATTGCACTGATCAGACAGGGGCCCCAGAAAGAGTACAGAAGTTATCAGCGCTACGGCTTCATTGAACGTAACGAACCAACACGGCCAAAAGTTCGTTCTCTGAGCGAAAATCTGGATGAGTTGGCACCAACACGAATGGTCAGCAATATATGTGTCTAGTGGTGCAAAAGCAGCCCGCTCATTTTACATTTGCAAAAATGTGAACCCAAGGTGATGTATAACAAACATCAATCTTCAAGAAAAATTGTTGAACTTACAAATAGATTCATCTTTGAACCTTGCGGGGGTGCGATCACCCCCAATAAAGTCGTTAGCACCTTCTGGCACGCATGTGTCTTGTAGATGGGTCACATTTAAGTTTAAGCCCCGAGTGAGAGATGGCGTTGTACTTGCACACGTTTATCACTATCATCATCATCATTATGGGGAGCACAATAGTTTTTTTGCCTTAACCATTCGGCCACCTCGCCTATGGGGAGCACAATAGCCCCACCAGTGACGCCTGGAAGCGAGGCTGGGTGGTGGCACATGAGACATGAGCGGGTCCCTTTGGCATGTGACAGCTGGTGTGGATGGTCGTCTCCCGAGATATTCCAACTCCAACCGCGAGCCGTGACTCGTGCGTTCCTAGCGGTCAAACATCGGCGGCGCAGCTCTCACATTAACTTGTGTTTGTTGTTATGCTTATTGAGTACATTGAAACATTGTATAAGGTTGTCTTCAGCATGTTGATCAGCGATGTATTTCATTCAGCTGACGGGACATTGGGGGATGTAAAAATTACTGAATAAGTGTACGCAATGTTTGATTTGCCCGACCATGTCTACTGAGTCCATGTGTTTCGAAAGCATGTTGCCTCAATACGAGATCTCACAACTTGCATATGCGTCCCAATAGGTCGCAGAACTTGTCACAGGAGTTCTAAAGTGCCATCGTACCAAACAAAACAAGTTGTGATCTAAATAAAAAGCTTTCAAAACAACGCTAACAACAATAGAACTTCAATGGATGCGTAAAAGCTTTTCGGAGTTTCTTCAAACGGTTGTTGACAGCCTTCACAACAACTTACAACTCTTAAAAGAGTACTGACGCGATTTCAAGACTCCGTAAAAACGACATTTTTTTTGTTTCATTTCTATGCAGCGTTAATGCCATCTACATACCGGAGGCTCCCGACATCGGGCTAGTTGGAACTGATCCATAACCTCTGTAAGTGCGAGACACGTAAGACAAATGAAGTAGTCATATGTAGTTCGAAGTCCTGTTTACTTCATTTGTCTTACGTGTCTTTCAAGCTTGCAGACGTTACACACACCACAGTCAAACAACACGTATAAAACATTTTACATTGATTTTAAAGTTTTTTCACTGAGCATTAAAGCCAGCTTTACTGCAACGAACAATATTCCGTCAAGTTAACACATTTCTATTGAGTTTTTGAAGCTGGCATCTTGCGTGCAGACTGAACCGTAGAAATGACTGTCTATGTGATGGGACATCAATGTTCTCATAGCTGTAATCAAGAGCACATGCTAGATCTGCCTCTAGCAAGTGGTGAGTGTCCCCGCGACGTCACACTGCCATGACACATCACTGAGAAGCCACCCCCTTAATACTGAAACTGAAAGGTTTTTTTTTTTTTTGTGAGGTTGTGATATTACAAATATACCGGTGCATACCCAGGCACTACACCACTACTTTTAGGGTTCTTGACAATAGTGTCTTCATGACACTCTGAAAATACTTAAAGCTCGTGTTAGCACTCCTTTAATTTACCAGTCTCTCCGGATAGTAAAAAAGGTCTCATGAAACGGGGTTTGTTGGTGTAAGTAGCACTTGCATAGGAGGTCCCACGTCGTACGGGGCCCGAAAGCAGTAGTGAGTATCTTGGTGCCGGTGGAGTCGCGAAACGCCGTCGACAGACGTGCGTGACATGGCCTGAGTACCTTCAGGCGTAGCAAATGGGACGGTTATCAGCTGTGTGCCAGGGGTTGCAGTAGGACGGCAGTGTACTAGGTGTCGATGGTACTCGCACCAGTTGAGAAGTCGGCATGGGTAGAGGGTGCGGTGGACTGGCAGCAACAGCAGCGTAAGTCAAGCGCAGTGATAGGTGTTGTCTGAGAGGTGTGTAATCGACGCTAGTCCTGAGTCATGCTATGAGAACAGACGCATCTGGACTCAAGAGACCACACGACGCTGCGACACCTGTAGTATCTCATAAGCAAGTGCCGGTTTATTGTTAGACCACTAGTAAAGAACACAGTCCAAGGTTGCTGGACAACTATATAATGTCCGCTGCACCTCCCTTTCTTGGCAAGGATGCATTGGTCAACACTGCATCTCATAGATCTGCTTGAACTGCTTGTCGTAGGTCAGGAACTTTGGTGGATGGCGTGTTCTCAGAGATCTTCGAACGGGCTGTGTATCGGAAGTGCTGTCTGCGGTGATGGCTGGTCCTACTGGGTCAGTCACAGGAGTAAACAACCCAGCACTGTCATCGTAATCCTCGTCAGGCATTCGAGGCCCTTCCGAATCGCGGTTGGCTGTACAAAATCGCAGGTTAGCTGTAAATCTTTTGTCATCCCATCATCAAATAGGTTACTAAAATTGAAGCTTCTGACGTGGGTCGTAGATGCTGTCTATTTCACTAGTACTGTTCACCGTCCTCAGAGTACTCAGTAGGAACGAGGTGCAACCTCCTCAAGCACCGTCGCTTTTCTCGACCATCCCTTCTCATCTTTCAGGCGAACGATGTCACCTGGCTGAAGTCTTGAAAGCGTTCCCTTCAGTGCACCGCGTTGAGGCCGCTTTGTGACTTTTCAGCTGCCAGGTAGATTAAAGTCGGGAAGAGCAGCCCTGAGGCGGCAATTCATTAGCAGTTCACCAGGGGACTACCGCACTCCAGACGTTTGTGCGATAATTAAAAAAACCTTGGTAAAAGTCACTTCCTGAACACTGGGTCTTCTTCAAAATATGTTTCACCACTTCCGTGCCTTTTTCCGCGAGTCCACTTAAACGTGGAAAGCGAGGACTCGACGTGATAGGCTTGAAGTCGTACGACGCCACCAAGAGGGCAAACTCTCTTGATGCATATTGTGGCCCGTTGTTGCTGAGAGCTTCAATTGGTACTCCGTGCCAAGCAAAAATGGATGACATTATGCATATCACTTTTTGTGCTGAAGTACCCTGTAGCTCTTCAACCTCCAGATAATTGGAGTACGCGTCGTAGAGCACCAGGTACATTTTACTTGCATATTAACGTAGATCTGCTCTAATACGAATCCATGGAGAATGCGGGATTTCTCTCATCAAAAATGATTCTCCAGGTTGGGCATAAGCATTGATCTTGCAAGTTTCACATCTGCTGATCATGTTCCTAATGTCTTGAGTCATTCTTGGCCAGAACTTCAAAAGCCTTGCCTTCGCGAGTGATTTGTTTATACCTAAGTGGCCTTCATGCAGCCAACTCAGCATTTCTGATCGTAATGACCATGGTATGACCACTTTGGCTCCTTTGAATAACAGCTTTCCAATGACCGACAATTCTGTAAGCGGTTGTTTCTGCTCAGATTGAATTACTCTGATCACATCTTAAAGAACTGAATCTTTTGCAGTCTCTTCGACCAGTCTCGCGCTGGTTTTTTCACTGACCAGACAGGGCCGGACTGATACTGCATGTACCTCCACATCGCTATCTTCGTCTTCTGTCGCGCAGTGGGGATTTGGAACACTAGATAGCATGTCTGGCAGGACTGGAAGTTTACCCGGAACATAGGCAAACTGGTGTTTGTATCTCATCAGTCAGAGAAACAGGCGTTTCAGTCGGAGAGGCATGTCACCAATACATTTTTTTTAATATCGAAATCAACGGCTGATGATCCGTTTTTATTAGCACCCTTCGGCCATATATGAAGTTTTGAAACTTTTCACAGCTAGAGACAACGCCTAAAGCTTCCTTTCCAATTTGCGAGTATCATTTTTCGCATTCAGTGAGACGCCTTGAACTATATGCCACTGGTCGCCAA